TACACCTTCTTGCCTATATCCAATTCTCCTTGGGTAGATATTTCCATGGATTTTGTCCTTGGACTTCCTCGAATCCAAAGAGGAAAGGATTCCATCTTTGTGATAGTGGACCATTTTAGTAAAATGGCACACTTTATTCAATGCCACCAGGTGGATGGTGCAAGAAATATAGCTGAATTATTCTTTCAAGAAGTGGTTAGGTTGCATGGATTACTTAAAACCATAGTTTCTAATCGAGATGCTAAGTTCCTTAGCCACTTTTAAAAAACTCTTTGGTCAAGGCTAGGGACTAAACTTCTATTTTCTACCACCTATCACCCATAAACTGATGGGCAAACAAATTAGTGAATAGATCTCTTGGAGCTATGTTAAGGGCGGTTCTTAAAGGTAATAAAAAGTCATGGGATGACTACCTACCACATGTTGAATTTACTTACAATAGAGTAGTGCATAAAATTACAAAAATGTCTCCTTTTGAAATTGTTTATGATTTTAACCCTTTTACACCTTTAGATTTAATTCCATTGCCTGATGTTGCTTCTTTAATTCATAAGGAAGGATCATCTAGGGCAGAATTTTTCAAGAAATTGCATGAGAGGGTTCGAGACCATATTCAATCTCAAACCGAGAAATACATAAAATACAATAATAAAGGAAAGAAAGAAGTCATTTTCAATGAAGGGGATTAGGTTTGGTTGCATCTTAGAAAGGATAGATTTCCCTCTAAGAGGAAGTCTAAACTTAGCCCTAGAAGATGGTCCCTTTCAAATCCTCCAAAGAATAAATAATAATGCCTATGTCCTAGATCTCCTTGAGGATTATGGAGTTAGCCCTAGCTTTAATGTATCTAATTTATCTATTTTTGCAGGATTTGATGAACATGAGGAAGACTATCTGGATTTGAGGTCAAATCATTTTCAAAAAGGAGGGAATGATGGAGGCCCATGTGCCAAGGGCCCAATCACTAGAGCTATGGTCAAAAGGCTAGAGGAGGATTGGGCTAACTCCAATGAAAAACCCATAGTACTTTTTAGTTGGGCTATGCACTAAAGCCCATGTAGAATAAGGTTGGTCCACTTGAGCTTGTATTTTTGCTTATAGGCCTTGTATTTTGGCCAAGTAGCATAGGCTTATTTTAGGCCATGTATTTCGGCCATTTAGATAATAATTTAATGTGAGATTACATTTAGTGTAATTGGGAACACATTTAAGGTGTAATTAGAGTCATCTGATCGGCCATGTGGATGGTGCACATGGTTTGACTCAAATTCACCTCAAATGTGAATCAAATCACATTAAGATGCAAACCTCACATGTGGCACATGGAGGATTCGGGAATCTAGGATTAGAAATTCAAATTTGAATATTCAAATTTGAATTTAGGCGTCAAGAGTTAAAATTAACCATACCATGGTTAATTTAAACTCTTGGCCAACCTAGCTTCCTTGACACTCTTCCTTGGCCTAAATATAGATTAGGTCCATGTATATTTCTCACTTTTGAGCATTATATGAGATTATACTTTTTGAATTTTCTCTTTACCAAAGTCACCATAGTAAGGAAATTCTCCAATTCACCTTGAGATTTCCTCTTTGTAGCCTTAGGTCTTTGGACTTTTCTATTCAAGGAGATTGTTCCAGCCTTTGGCAACACTTCTTATCTTCTTCTTTTCGATTCTTCCTTGAAGAATTCTCAAGGATTTCAAGAGAATGTTGAAGGAGCAAGATCGAAGTTCATTTGAAGCTACATTGGATTCCATTAGGTATAAGATTATTTATTTCTTATATTTTATATTTTTTGTATTACATAATATGCTATCCTATTACCTAATGTTTTTATTTCATTTAAAATTTGGATAGGCTTCACAACTTGCAAACATAACTTTCTTAGGAGGCTTGAACAATTTCGTGAGATAAGCCCAGAAGTTCATTGGTTGATTGATGGGATTTCGCTAGAAAAAATGGAGCTTCATCCATGATGATGAAAGTCACAGATACAATCACATGACTACAAATTTATCTAAGGCTATCGACAAGATCTTAAAAGGTGCCTGTAACTTTCCAATAACAACTCTTGTAAAGTTTACATATGGTAGGTTAGGTCAAGCAAACGCAGAACTTGTGATTGGTCAACGATATTGTCGAAAGTTAATGGATGCTATGCAAAACAATCAAGAGGAGGCAAAATTTCATTTCATTCAAAGATATGACTATGAGACCACCAAATTTGAAGTGGAAGAAGCTTTCAATCCAGTTACACAAAGAGGTGCTCATACTTGGACAATAATTCTTAATGAATGAAAATGTGAGTATAGTATTTTCCAAGCTTACATATATCCATGTTCACATGCCATTGTCGCATGTGCTTATGTTCGCGTAGATCCCTTGAACTATGTTGATGCTACCTATTCAAATGCATGTATCAAAGAGGCATATTTTAGGCAATGCTACCCACTTGGTAGTGATGACAACATTCGTCCTACCGATGGACCTCACATTGTCCCTGATCAAACTATGTTGCATTCTAAGGGGCATCCAAAATCAACTCGTATAATAAGAAATGAAATGGACTGGACACAATCTCAATGAAGACAACGTTATAGACATTGTAGGATTGAAGGTCATAATAGAATAAACTATCCTCAACTAGCATAAAATATTAATGATGACCTTAATCATTAATGTGTATCCAAAATTTTAGTTATATAATATTTAATCATGTATGTAAGTTCTATATATTTTATTGATGAAATTCTTAAGTTGGATAATGATTGTGTGTTCGAATAAATATCCTATTCAAATAATCATCATATTTAATTATTTAAAAAATTCAAATATTTATTTTCATTTCAATAAATAAACCTACATATTTTCTATCATTCTATTATAAGATATAAATTAAAAAAATTAATATAGAAAATAATTATTTTAAAAGCAAATTAATTATATATTGTAAAATACAAAAAAAAAATAACAAATAAATTTTCTTAACAAATTATTAACAACAAATATTTTTAATACCTATTACACTATTATTAGCAATAAATAAAATTATGATTACCAAAAAAAATATACTTACATTTATTAAAACTATTACACTATATCTATAACCTAATACTAAACCTTAATCCTTCAACACAATAAATTCAAAACACTACACCCGAAATCCTAAACTTGTAAAATTTAAAACCTTAAACTTGTCAATAGTCTAGAGCAAAAGTGCTCAATGCTTCATAAATCTATTCAAGTAAGAAAATATCAAGGGGGCGGACGATTTTTCTAACAACACTGGAAACATCACCCCCTTTGATGACTTCTAACAACACCGACAACGTCAAGGGGGTTGACGTTTCTTTGTAATAATTGTTCACGCACAAGTCGTCACCCATATTGATGTTTTGCTTTTAATTAACCCTCATTACACCCATTGATGTTTTCCTTATATATGTCCACGTGACGAAAACAATTTATTTCAGTAAATTGTTTTTTAAATAATTAATTTATAAAAATATTTAATTTTTTATTTATTAAGACCAAAAGGCCCTATATGAGATTAGTTATGGGAAGAATTGAATTATTTACTATTATCATTTACATTACTTCGAAATTGGTATTATTTCCAAAAGAATTAAAAAGTTTTGTATTAGCAGAAATTGGGACACTATTAAAAAGTAATAATAAAAGTAGTATGTTTCAACCTAGTATGTTTCTAATCCTTGAATGAGGAAACAGACTCGAATATGATGAGTTAAACAGTGATAGAGAGGCTTTGGCTCAAAACATATCCAATTGATGTCAACCATGACTAATGAGCAGAAAGCAATATATAACACAATAATGCATAAAGTTAATGTTAAGAAGTTAGGATTTTTTTTCTTTATGGGTTTGGAGGGATAAGAAAAACATATATTTGGAGGGCTACGTCTGCATCATTAAGATCCAAAGGAGATATTGTTTTAACAGTTGCTTCTAGCAAAATAGCTACTTTGCTCATTCCCAATGGTGGAAGAAATGCTCATTCAAGGTTTGTTATTCGTATCAATATCAATGAAGACTCCACTTGCAACGTTAAACAAGGAAGCTAATTAGCTAAATTGGTAGTGAAGGTCAAATTAATTATATGGGAAGAAGCACCAATGACCCATAAATATTATTTTAATGTTATACACAAAACATTAAGAGATTTACATACGTTTCGATGGCAAGGTTGTTGTCTTGGGTGGAGATTTTCGACAAATGTTTCCTATAATTCCTAAAGGGACAAGACTAGAAGTTGTTCACGCTTCAATAAACTCCTCTTACCTTTGGAGTTGTTGTGGAGTTATGTCATTAACTACCCATCTGAGGCTTCTATATGGTAGTTATAAATTTGAAGTTAGAGAAAGAAAAATATCCTCTGATTGAATTTTGGGTGTCGGTGGTGGTAATATTGGACAGAGTACTAATTTAAACACCTCTTTAGACATTCTAGATGATTTGCTAATAAAAAGCGATAAAGAGTCTATAGCCTCTATTATCAATGATACTCATCCTAATTTTATAAACATGAATGATCCATCTTTCTTTCAAGATATTTCACATAACTTTACATACGCAGACACAAAGTACTTCTTTTTTATACTCATAAATTATAGATAAAAATAGTAAATTATAGATAATAAAATCTTGTAAGCATTAAAAAAAAACTTATCATACTCTTACCATATTCATCTAATTATATGTTATTTTATCTGAAAACATCGTTACGTGAAATTTTTTTATATAACTAGTAATTGATAATAAATTTTATCTTTTATCTTATGGAAAATCATGACCTAAAATTCAACATAAAAATGTTTATTCTCAATTTCTTGTTCACATTCACAGGCGATTACAGTTGTTAGTAGTCTTATTAAAAGCACAGGGCCGAAATTGCTAAGAATGCTCTAGGCCCAATTAAGCCCAACCCGAGATCCAAAACCAACAAAAAAAAAACGGTGAAAACAAAACCAAGGCGAGAGGCGCTCCACACTCTCTCTCACTGTGGCCAATAGATTCTGTTGAGGTCGAGGCAGAGGCAGAGGCAGGTCCAGGTCTCACTCACCAATCACCATCAAACACTAAAACCAACCCCCAAAGCCCGATGCCGCCTCCAACGCCACTGAGCAGCGCCTCCGCCATGATCCGGCGGCGGCTCCTCCTCCGAACCCGCGGCGGCGCGGGCTCCGGGGCGAGCCGGTGGACGAGCCCGGGCCACGAGGAGAGGCCCAAGGGGTACCTCTTCAACCGCACCCCCCCGCCCCCGGGCCAGTCCCGCAAGTGGGAGGACTGGGAACTCCCCTGCTACATCACCAGCTTCCTCACCATCGTCATCCTCGGCGTTGGGCTCAACGCCAAGCCCGATTTGACCATCGAAACTTGGGCCCACGAGAAGGCCCTCGAGCGCCTCAAGATCGAGAACGCCCTCGCCGCCAATAACGACTCCTCCGAATCCTCCTGAACCAATTCGGATCCGGCCCAACGCTCGCTCCGCTAGGTTTTAAAACCCGAAATTAGGTTTCTCCATGTAATAAGGGTAATCACTCTTCGAATGTGAACTCCTTCGTAATTTTTTCTCGCGTTTTCGGTTTTCCTCTCTGGTGAGATTGTTGACTCGCTTCTTATTTTTTAACTTCTCTTTCTTGAATGTGGATAAGGCGTTTATGCGTTACAATGTTTTGGTGTTTCTTTAAATGATTGTTTACTCCAATGATGTGTGTTGTTATCTTAATTTCGCCGTGATCAAGGTGGAGGAGGTGGTTTAATTTAACCTAGAATTCGTCTCAATTTTTTAATGTTGATTTGCGACATTGAAATGGATCCGTTTCGCTGTAGATTCAATTTTTTTAGTGTGTGCGTGAATTGGAATTTGTTTGATTGATTGTGTTGTGGCTCGCGATTTGTAGATTATGGAACTGGTTTAGTGATTTAGCAGCTAGGTTTAGACTCTGTTGATTGAAAGTTTAGACTCATTCTAGTGTTGCATAATTTTGAGAGGCCCTACCAGTTTTTTAAGTTCAAATTATTCTTGAAATATTTTAAGGGTCTAATTGTTGGCATTGAACATCTTGTTGAATTGGCTTAACAAGAACTTTAAAGGTTGGCCGTGGCACCAATTAGTAGCAGTTTATGCTTTTGTGTACAAGGATTTCTTTATTCTTTATCATGTTTGGCTGTATTTTATAGTACTCTCATGGATTTAGCTTCTCTAAAGTAAGCAAACTTGTAAAATGTGAAAGTGTATCTACTGTTGATTTGAATTAAAGTATCTTGTAATCTTTACTATATAAATCAACGGTGGATCAAGCCTTGCTTTCTAATTTTACACATTTATTTACATTAGAGGAGGCAATCCTAATTACAAATTCTATGCTGAAGTTTCAGTTTGGATTCATTCTAGTTTTATATTATCAAGCGTTTGTAGATTGCTGAAGTTCACTCGTGTGTGAGAGTTGTCTTGAATAAGATGAGTTATGGATATAGACCTTCCAGCTCATTTATATTGTAGCGCTTCATATTACTGAGTCATTAAGCCCATAGTAAACTATACTATGTAGTTGAAATGCCCTGTGCTTTACTCCACACTTGTTTATGTTGATTCTTTAGATGGAGAGAGCAAATTAGTCTCCTATGTATAGAACCACTTCACTCCATCATCTTTAATCTGGATGTGATCAAATGCTGGGGTATTGAGGTAGAATAGTGCGTAGAAGAATGCTAGTGACACTTTTTAACAATTATTTGTTTTATTATTGGCTTAAATTTATTAAAAATATGTGAGTCTCACATACTTAATGAGTCTTTCTCCAGATTTGGAGATAAAACTCACAAAAATTTGTGATTTTCAACCAATAGTAGCAAAAAATATTAACAAGAGAGTATCAAAGTATTAGAGAATTTTGCTAACATTTCTCGTGCGTGTATCAAATTCTGTCACTCTTCTAATTAGGTTCAACTCTTATCTGAATTCATCACCTCACCTCGTTCTACATGTCTGATCTAAACTAATTCTAGTTTTTTTTATCAATATTGCTTTGTTAGTTTGGTTATATCTGATCACTCATGCCTTTATAAAATAGGATTGTAAAGGGAGAATACAGGCAGGTTCATGTTGCAAAAAACTTGTGTAGGATGAAGCAATTTTTTTGTTTTTCTTATTTGGGGAGAGGAGAGCTTGTCCATTCTGTAGGTGATCCATTTTCATAACAAATTTCACCATGTATGATATTACTTTTCTGACCAGTCGTTTCATTTAGAAAGCTTTTGAGCTTTTTTATGCAGGCTTGCTTGAGGTTTCTTGATTGATGGTATACTAAGGTTTCGTATGTTCATGTTAGGTGCAGCTAACTTGTTATGTTTTAACTGAGGTTCTTTAGTAAATGTTATGGCTTAAGGTGATTGAGAATTCAAGCTAAGGGTATTCAAGAATCGCTCCAAACTAATTCAAATCGTTAAGTCGTTCGTTAAAAAATAAATGAAAACCAAATAAACTGTTAATTGATTAAATAAAGTAATAAATTGTCTTTTTTATTATTATTTATTCGGCTCAGGTTATTTTTGGTTTATGTTTAAAATCGAACCAAGTTGAATAGAATTGTAAACGCACTAAGCTTATATTATTTTTACTATTTTATTCTCAAGTAAATCTTAACATAGAAGTTATATTTTATTATAAACATGAATTTGTAATTTTAGAAAATTTTAGGTTATTTTGACTTGAAATTCAGACCAAGTTGTGTTATAAGATTTGACACTTTGAATAAGTTTATTTTATTTTATTTTTATGTCTATTATGTATTTGTATTTTTATTTAATAAGTGGTCTCTTAAATGAAAAATTAGTCATTGAAGGATTTATGTATTAACTTGGAACTTATGTCTTATTCTAGTTAAAAAAATATCGTTTATTTATCGACCCAAGAAAAAAAAAAAAAGAGAGAATTGTTCCTTTAAAAAATACAATGCAATATAGAGTTGTTCCTTTAAAAAAATCAAATCGAATTGTAACTATTATGTAAACAATAAAATAAAAGTTAATCATCTATACATTGTCAGTGTAAAGTTTTTTTACACTGACAATTAATTATATCTTTTAATTGTGTCATGTCATTGTTAAAAGTAAATGTGTTTATAGTGACATGGTATAATTAAAAGATATAATTATTTGTGAGTGTAAAAAAACTTTTCACTGGTCGTGTATAAGTGATTAACTCATAAAATAATAGGTTAAGAAAATTACATCCTTAACTTTTATTAATTAATTGACATTTGTCTATCTTTACCGTTATTTGATCATTTGAGAATTAATAATAGACCGAGGCTTTCTCTATGCAAGTGTTGGACTTGCCCCAACTTAGAAAAGCAATGAAAAGACATTAAGAAATGCAGACTCTAAACAACATCAGAAATGTAGTCTTTGGAGATCGAAATTATACTCATTTTTTTCTATCCCATCTCTCAAGTCTTTTCTTTCTCTAATATCCTACTTTTCTTTACTTTTTTCCTTCTCTTAAATTTTAAATCTCCATTATGAGCCATGTCTACAAAACTTAAAGGGTTTCATTCATTGATTCAAAGTTTCAAGGTCAAGATTGCATGTTTGCGAGAATCTCTTCCGTCTTCGAAAGCTCAACATAGAGCAAGGAGTTATCCTTTTTTCCTATTTTTAGAGCCGAGTACATGAATTTTTGGGAACGGTCAAAGTTTTTGTTAAGCATGACATTGATTATTTTTACAATTTGAAGAATACCAACATGAGTTCTCTTAGTTTTTTTTTTGTTTTTTTTTTTTTTTACATCTTTGATTCTATGTTTTTAATGTGCTCCTTTTGTCTAGCATAACACAAACATGTTTGAAATTAAGTGCTTACCATTTGAAAAGGACAAGCATAAGTTTTCTTAGATTTATCATTCTATGCTTCCATGTAGCTTTACCATTCTTGATTCTAATTGAAACCATAAAGATCTTTCCAATTTTGGAAAAAGTTCTCTCAATCTCTTTTATTTTCGCTTGAACGATTATTGAACAGAGAACTTTTTCCACCAAGATCAAATTGACTTAAACCCTCTGATTTTGGCTTAACCCCTTCTAACATATAAACATACACTTAATTTTCTTGACAATTATTTTCTCCACAAGTCTTATAAAAAATTTAACTAACATAAGTCCAAAATTATGGTTTCACAATATAGTCTTTTATTATAACATAAGTTTTTTAGATTCAGGCTAATCAATGATACAATGTGAATATATGAGTTGTAATGATCTAAGCATAGTTCAAAAGTCTATACAATTTGAACTCGTTGACATTCACAAGTTACATCAATAAAATCACAATCACTAACAAGGCACATATTATACAATTTAAATCACTATACATTCACAAACTCTAATATTGACCATTATTTAGTTTTGAGATTCTTTGTAGATAAAAAAGGACAAAAGTGATTACGTACTCACTTTTTTTTATAAAAAAAAATGATTATAAATGTTGTAAACTAATTTACATTCCCCCTACTTGCTTTCATATCTCACATTGCAAAATTCGTTGAATAAAAAAATATGCTCTTAGCTTTCTTTGCCTCCAACAACAATATGCTCTTAGCTTTCTTTGCCTCCAACAACTGTTATATCTTTTTTGAAATTATAGTAGAGTTGTGTTGTCAAAATCGAATTGAACAGGCCCGTTCGACCAGGAATCGATCAGTTTATTGGTTTGAAAAAATCATAAAACTAGTATGTAAAAAAAAATCGGATGAACCAACTCAAAACTAGTCAAGAATCAATCAAAAAATTAGGTTAAACTCATCTTTTATAAAAATAATTTTTTTTCTAAAGTTTTTTAAAATATTTTTATGATAAATAAATAAATTATATTTAATACAAAATTATAAATTAGAATAAATTATGTTATTTATTATTTCTAATAATTTTCTTATAAAGATATAATTTAATTATTTATATTGATTTATAATTTTATATCATGATATTTTGTATTTTATATTATATTAATTAAAGATTTTTCTACTCTAAATATAAAATTACTAATATATATTGTTATATTTTGTTCAAATTTAAACTTAAATATTATATTTAGACTTTTACATGCACTTTAAAAATAAAATATATAAAATGATTTTATTTTAATTTTAGTTTTATAAAATTATGATATTATGTTTATTTATTATTTAAATATTATTATTTTATTAATATTAGTTCAATCACAGTTAAACCATTAAACTTTTAACTAGTGTTCTGACTCGTTCGATGATCGATTTGATTTTAGAAACATAGGTAAAGAGTGAGTGTTTACCTTTAATCATTCCAAGTACAATATTTGTTAGCATATTTTATTTATTATATGAATATTTAAATTAAATGATTGATTTTTGTAACTCTAGCCTTAAAGTTTTAGTTAAATTTAATAATTGTTTAGGTTAAGTAGTATATATTTTTGAGTTCTTTCTTAAACTAATTAAATATTTTAATCTATTATTATCCATACTCAAGTTTTTTGTGTTGTCTTTTCAACTTTTTTCTTTCTATTTTTTATTTTATTTTTCTATTTTAATTCTTTTTTTGTCTCTTTAAGGCTACTTGCAAACAAAATTTTAATATATCCAAACAGTTAAGGATACTAGTCCAAATTCTATCATTGATTAACATTTTATATTACTAAAAAAATATTTAATCACATATATGCGAAGAATCTATGTCATACTTTTCAAAGTAGTATC